TTTCGTTTATAGATAGGTTCTCGAGACTATATCTTACATATATCATCTGCAAAGCTTACCGACCCCAATTGTGCTTCCTTCAGGAAGTCATTTCTCGAAATTTCGGTCAGCTGTTCCATCCTGTCCTATATAATTGATTAACTAAAAACACTCGACCCAGGTAACTTATACGCCTTAATCAAAGATTCATTTAAATTACTATCCCCGAACATAAGATGGAGCTTCACCAAGAACATCCTTTTCAGAGCATTTAAAAATATTTTGTTAAAACATTTTTTTTGTTTTAGCCCTTGTTTCACCTGAATCTACATATTTTGATGGCAAAAAATATACCAGATGTCTATGTATGCTATGAATATGTACAGAGTCCATTTTGCCAGGAGTGAATAATAATTACGCTTATTCATATGCACGAAACTCACTTAACCAGTCGAATTTCAGCAACCTTTTTTTGTGAATGCTAGGCCAGCACTTCTTAATAATCATTACTCCTCTATAAAGACAAATCTCAAGGATCCAGTGAACTCTTATATATTCCCCTCTATTGTGTTTTTATTTATTTAAATTCTGTGTCACCCTCACTAGTCCTACCAACTAATTATATCATTACTTTTCTCTGATTTGTCCATTTTTGTTTTAAACCTACACAGAGTTATATATTAAAGATTATTAAAAGCTGCAGCCGAAGTGGACATATATGATATAATCATCCATAATTTTGACACCAATAAGTGTCAGATTCGATTGGTCGACGAACCAATTGGCAAATTCCTCGATCTCAGTCATCTTCGCAACATTTGTTTGATTATTGATGGGTTAGTTCCATGCTGACTCTTTTACTTCTAGGTCTGCATCTAAGGCCTGTCGACTTTCTCACTAGTTGGTCATTTGAATTCAGTTTTAGGCTGTTCATGCTTTCTTTGTTTTTTTTTGTTGAAAATATGTTCTACACTATTTTATGTAGAATTGTTTATACTAGCGCAGAGAAGGTCACAATATCAGCTGCAATACACTGCATTTATATTTCATGCCATTTTTCACTTTAATTTTGTATTTTTAATGAATAACTTAGAGAGATAATTTTTCCCATGAATTCTGGAACCTGCGAAATCTAAAGACAACGAAGCTGTTGACCCCGGCACCTAGACTGGTAATGCGTCAGCATTCAGATTGGCTTTACGTTCGTCGATGCTTTATTGGCTCTTTTTTTCTTTCATTCACCTCTGCATTCTCATTGGTCACTTGTCTTTTGCTAACTCATATCGGCTTTGAAATCTCTCTCTCCCTCCTACTTATCTTGCCTTCCTACGCGTTACTTGCGAATTTCTACATGCACGCAACTAGCCGTAATTTAGTATACATATACAGGCGTCTAAGATGGCCACTTGCTTAAGTTCCCTCCCTCCAACTGGCTCGGATTGACTTGAAGTTGTCCAGCTCCTGTCCTGACATTTGTGTGTATTAATTATACTTTCCTTTCAAACCATCTGTTCAGACAGCATTCTCACCGAAGTTTACCCTTTTCACTCCCATTGGCCCCTCTCCCTGTCCGTACCGTTCACGTACTCAGGTGACGCACATGGACTAATCTACTCGCTTGAGAGAACTCAAGGATCCAGCTTTTCAATTGAGCCCCGCACGGGTCTGGTGCGAGTCGCTCTCCCGTTGGACAGAGAAACACTTGCTGTACATCAACTTGACGTACTGGTTTCTGATACAACAACCTTTCTCCCAGATCAGGTTGATCACTTCGCGGATCGTACAGAAGGACGAATTTCTTTTCAGCTAGGTCAGGAAAAACGACGTACGTTCAATGTCTCGGCTTCGGCCACACGACAGCATACAGCATCTGCACGGATTCTTGTTCGTCTCATCGACGTGAACGACTCTCCGCCTCGATTTCTTTCGCCTACCAGTACTGAAGGAATTGGTGGACACGGGGTTCATTTGTCCGGCCGGATGAATGCAACCAGTGGCGCACTGCTCGTCTCCGAGCTGGAGGCGCCGGGCCTTCTACTAACCCAGTTGAGAGCAGTTAGTGACGATGAAGCTGACAACGCTGTAATTACATATCGTTTACTCACACGACAGCCGGAATTTGCACTGAACGAGACTACAGGCAAGTGGAAACAACACTTACAAATTGTATATATATATATATATTTGAAGAAAAAATCTTTATTTAATATTCATTATTATTTAAACTTTTGCTATTATTAATTCACATTTAATAATACTTTAAGTTTTACGCACTACTCACGACGAATTGTCGGAACAGTAGATACTATAGTTCTATATTTGATCCTCAAGCAATATGGTATAATCCACAATCAAGAATTCTATGCCACTTAAGTTCCTCTTTGTGCATTATTCGTGTTGATATGAAAAAAACTTCTCTCTATGCACTAATTGCTTACTGTTTTTTGGGGAAATGTCTTAAAAATTGCACTACTGATAAAATATTGCTTAAATAATTATTTTTTAGACAAATTCTTAGCTTATTTATGTTACAATTGATACTGTCCGAAAAATCTTTGCAGGGGAGCATTAATCAACTCAACGGCAATATTTTGAACTATTCGGTACTACACTAGTCCGAAATTTATTAAAACCATATCTTTGCTATT